CTGGGCTGATATAACTGGTTGTAAAGTAGTAGATGCATTCACATTTGACTAGTAGGGAAATAGTCTTAAGATCTTTAAAAAGTGCACCTATTGAATGCTCGAATTTTCTGCCTTTTTTTTTTTTTTTTTAATTCCACTGTTGATTTTTCTATCCATGATTGAAATGTCCTCATTTGCTTCAGTGTTGAAAGCTTTTTTCATATATGTGTGCATATATGGGTTTTTTTCCAGCAGGACTTTTCCTCCTGTAGATGTATAAGAAATTATGCATCAGACAAAAGCCTCATAAACTGACCATTTGTCCTTTGGACACAATAGCCTGCCCAGCCCCTCTGCTCCTCCTCTCCAATTATGTGTGATTAGTCTCAGTGTGTTGTGTCAAGAAGGGGGAGTGTGCTGAGTGCTTATTATCTGTTTAGGTACAAGAAGAGCACATTTAGGTTCTGACTATGAATGGAAAGTGAGCCTTTATCAGGACTGAAATCTAAATGCTACTATCCTAGAAATGCTTTAAAAAAAAAAAAAAAGCACCCTTTTCTGATAGATTCCAAGCAACACTGTAACAACTAAAGGATTTTGTAGTGTAATCAAACTGTCTCCCTTGAATTAGTTTATGTTGTGATGTCTTGTGGCCCAAGTATTTGATAAACATTTAATGTAACTTTTCTTGTGCTGGGAAAGACAAAAATCCTACAAAGAAACAGGAGCAAATTCTTATTTTCTTAACAATTTAAGAGACCGTTTTAATGACTTCTCAGGAAACCAACGTGGATCATTAAGAGTCCTGTACAGTCTCTTAAACCACAACACTTTAAATGATGAGAGAGAGAGACAGAGACCGTGACTGAGGTACTAGATGCAAGGAAATGTAGAAGATCATGCTGAAATACATTAATTATTTCAGCAATAAGCGTTCTTCCATATTTAACAAATTGGGCAGCACATAAACCACGAGCTTATGAAAATCCCTTTCTCTTCGCTCTTCTTCTCAAACAAATTTCTTCACTACCGGTTTGCATGTCCTTGTATTCAGTACTTTTTATGCTCCATTAGAGCACCTAGATGGATCTCAGAAGGCATAGGTCAAGTCGCAGTTAGATCATACATTTCTTTCTCACAAAAACTTGAATTGCAATGCCAAGTGATGGGCTAACATCACAATAACAGCAATTTATTCCTCTTTTGATAAAAAGCAGCCTATTCTCAGTGTTAGATAAAGACCAGGGGCAATGCAAACCAACCATTTATCCTAGAACTGAGTAGTATGTCTCCACTATAGCTGGTATGAGTTTCATATTCAAACTCTTGTTGGAAGATGCTTGTCTAGTAAGAAATCAGAAGCATTTAGGAGTAATTTAAAATTGCTGCGAAGGTGGCGTTAGTTTAATTAGTTTGGGTTTGTTTGTCCCACACAGCAGTGCCTTTGTTTTCCCTAAAAATGTGTACAAGGAAACCTTTATAATCAACGGAGTGTGAAAAATAGTGAAATATTAAAATTTGTGAACATTTTCTTTCTGAGAGGGCTTGAATGTCTGCTGTATGATAATCTAATAAAGATTGTTAGTTGCCAAAAACAGAACCAGTGTCACTGGAAATTGTGGTTTTAGCTCTAAGAAAAAAACAGTTTTACTCAGATTAGTAGCTGATAATTGCTTTTTATTTCTTTAGTGTCTGTCGTTTGAGTTGAAGGCTTTGCACAGGTGCTGCCATCCCTAAAGTGTGTAATTGATGGCTTGTTTACCAAAGATGCATTTAGGCTTCATCCTGCAAACTCACATTGGAGCTCCACAGGCAGTAAAGTTACTCATCTACATAAGTGCTTGCACGTTTGGTCCAGACAGATATATTTAGAGGTATATGAGCAAGCTGTCTTCATTTTTTTTTTTTTTGGTTTTAAATGGGTATTGAAAAGTCACAGATGTAGTATTTACTATATATGAAGCACTAACAGTGTTCGTTTTTAGAGACATCTCTCAGGGTCCCTCATGTTAGCAGGGACTTGATGAATTGTTTCTGAGCTCTTAATTTGTAATAAAAATACAGCACGAATGGCACTGTGCAAGGCCTACGCGCCAAGAGTGGAAATGTTAGGCTGATGCAAGTTTTCCTTCATGTACGTTGGTAGTTTTTAGAGCTACGTTGTGTCTTCCTCCTCAGAGAAAAATGGCAGAGAAAAAACATCTTCTTGTGGATATCCACTCCCCTGGGTGCAGCCCTCATGCAGTCAGTGCCACTGGTGGTGAGTTGTGATCTTGAGAATATAAAAGACCAAGAAAAAAATACTCCATTTCCTGCTGTGAGATCTGGTAAAGGCTTTCTTAAAAATTACAAACTACTCCTACCTGATAGCATTCTGAAACAACAGGAGAAATCTTTCCATTGGGGAAATAAGTTTGATTTCAGATGAAAAATGTCTTAAGAACATGAGATGAGGCAGGACAACTTACTACACCAGGTACCAGTCCAGCTGCAAAATCCTGATTAGACACATCGTTCACGTTTTACCTGTGGCTTAATGGCTCCATGCTTGCAAGAAGAGGGAAGCAGGATTAAAATTGTTCCCCCCATGAAAAGCATCCTCACGTCTTGAGCCTGGCTGCGTACGGTTTATCAAGTGTTATATCTCCATTAGAACTCTCCTTTCGCTGTTCCCCGAACAAAAGAGGATGCAGTGGGTGGAGCTTTTGATCCACCTCTTGATATGGCAGGTGGCACAGTGGATATGGCAGGGGAAGAGGGACCAGGCAGCAAGGCATTGCACGTCAGACAGCAGCGTTTCATTCCTGCCTTTCACCCGCTCTCTCTAATGCAAGAGGGGAAGTAACCGGGTCCTGTTTGTCTCAGAGTGCAAACTGCAAACGCGTAGCTGAGCCTGGATTTCTTTATGTGTGGTTTTCTTCTTCTGAAAAGCGGGGAATGAACACTGATGTCGAACTGCAGATTCCTTTAACTCTTGTGAAGTGTTTTGAGATGCTGGCGGAAGGTGCTAGGACCGCACCGGCGGTTATATCTAAATCCTGTTCTGCGCAGCGTGGTCATCCCTGTTGTTTCCTCAGAAAGAGACAGTGGTGTTGCTTTCTATCTTTTTGTTCACTTTTTAGATTCTCCCGAGTCGGATTAAGATGGTTTCTCGTGCCTTGGCTGTCACAAATCAGTAGCCTAGCATTGGTTATATGCACACCAGCATCTTTTGAAAGAAGGTTTTAAAAGCTAATTTTCAACGTTATTCTCATCTGCACTGCAACAGCACTTACTTAACCCAGCCAAAATGAGGGCACCCTCCTGCCAAACCCCAGAAAGCTAAAAGCAAGGCAGTACATAAACATTCAGCTGCAAATTCACTGTTAAGTAAAGAGGTGATGGGCTAACATCACAACAACAGCAAATTAAAAAAAAATTAAGAAACTTTTAATTAACCCCTCCCCAAATTGTGCCCATTCCCCATACAAGGGAACCTGAGGCACAGACAGTATTGCTGTCTCTTTTACCTGTAGCCGTTTAGAAAGCAGCCCGTACACCCTAGACCTGATCCCAGATTTTGTCAGCCTAAGTGTAGCATCTCCTCTGCAAGATCCGTCTCCCTCTCCAGCCTGTGGACTCTGCTCAAACAGCTGAATGTAACAAACCTAACTTTTCTTTCCCATTTTTAAAGGGTTTAGCCTATTAAGGCTCCTTGCTTAGTCAGCAGCTGGCTTGCTGCCAAAAAGCCCAGCATATTGTTGTAGCTGGGTAAAAGCTGGATATTTTCCATCTCTGTCCAACAGCGGCATTGGATCTTTATTGTCTTCTTGTGTGTAAAGTGTGTGGAAAGTAGAGGGAAGATGCACGGAGCAGTAGTCCAGATGGCATTCCACAGTCTGAGAAGAAACATCTTGACCCTCGAATCTGGGTTAAACTCAACAGATGCCAAGCCCCCAAAAACAAAGAGCTGTCGTGGCTGACGACAGCGAAGGAGCGATAGGCCTTCAGTAACAGAAAGTATCTTTTAGTTGGGAATGCATTTCCCTGCAGATAACCAACACGGTGTCACTCGTAGGAGATTGCTTATTAAAAAGAGGCAAAAAAATAATGGTTCCCTGCATTAGGCACCGTCTCCCTCCAGCCGTAAAATGTTGCCCCTGGGTGATGGGTTGTGCTAGCCAAAAGGGTTTGAACGTTCAGCCTGTGTTGTGCCCTGCCAGAGCCTGCATGCTAAAAGACCTGTTATTTTTTTTTCCTGCCTCTGACTTCAATTAATGTACTTTTAAAATGATTAAACATATCATGCTGTGACTTCTAAAATGTCAACAAGCTTCTAAACTTGGGAGACAGGAATGTAATAAAATAGGTAATAGGAGATTCAATAGTTAATAGAGGCCCTGAAGTGTGAGTGTATACAGTAGCTGTATATTGGAAACTGTGCAAATGAAGATGGCTTAGTATTGCAAACTGAGGAAGAAAATTGTTTTTAATTAGCACCTTCATAAGAACTGCTGATTAATACTGTTTGGTTTGGTGAAAAGCTTTCAGCTGAGTAATTTGTACAGCCATTACAACAGTTTTGTTAGACCAGGACTCCTGTTGTTAAACACAAACAGCAGATGATAATGGTTGAAGATGAGTTTGTCATGTAACAATTTACCTTATTGAAAAAAGCTTTATATAAAACCCAATACAGTAGGTACCAGCAGAAATCACATATTTTAAATCCTTTCAAGATTGCAGTGTGCGATGCTAGTGTGTTTTTTTCATGGACTAGAAACAGATTTTATATCATTTATAAAATTATATATACAATTTAAAGGTGCTGTAGCATGGACAGACCACTTTACTGGTAGTGCTTTACATCAGGACAGCAAAGTGCCGGTACATTCAAACACTTCCTAAGTATACAAAGTAGCTCTAAAAATTGAAAGGTAATTAAGTAATATTGTTCACATGCAAATGTATGTTTGTGCATTATGCACTGAAATTACATCTGGTGTTTGTGCACTGTCTAGCATTTATACCTAAGGCTTTAA